TGTCGTAGATGCATGAGCTCATCTCGTATTTCCCTTTTTAATCATAGTAACATTATCATTACGTAACCGATAAAACCTATCTTATCCCGTACGTGAGTATGTGCCTTTGAAAAGCATACGGATGCGATATACACGCAGCATTTATGTGATATATGCGTGATGCTACATAGTATCGTGCAGGGATGGACAAAATTTTATTGGAATAATAGATAACCAATAAAATCCACCTACAGCAATTTATTTCCAACTTTTACTTGATCGAACAATTAAATCTTTATTCGTTAATTGTGAAATATTGCATACTATAATTGAAATTTCTATTTTTACTCCAACGGATACACGATTGTTTAATTTTTATTCGTTACTTGAAATTTACATTTAAACAAAAAAATATATATTGTGTATCGTGTGGTATGGTTTGCACGAGAAGCATTTTAAATATATTTATCAAAAGAAAACAAAAATAACGATTGTCTTTTCTATTCAATTTATTGAACACCTAGTAAAATGTAGTTGGTCTCAATATGTTTTTTAGCACTTTCAACAATTTATTCTAACTTTTCCCATCCAATGCTTCAATTATTATTGAAAGAATTTTGTTTCACATCCTATTTTTAAAAATTCGAACAAAAATACACTGGCTATATATTTTAAAAGTATATCCATATTATTATCTCAAATTCCTCCGCACGACGAATTTTTCGCCGTTCCCGTAACTTATTCCACCGCTTGGAAAAGATCCTCGAATCTTGCACGTAACTTTTTTACCCGACCATATGGCCCGACTTTCGTCTCACTTCTCCCACGCTGGCAACGTACAAATTTCTTTCCGTGCGTAACATTTGTTGAACATGAACGGACAGACCGTCGAAGCACTCGACTCTGTTTCGAAAAGGAACGAGAGTGACCATGTGCCCCGGGTACATTCCACCCGAAAAAGGCGATGGACCACAGGGGTACGCGGTCGTTCGGTGTTGCAGGCAGCGGAGCTTTGTTTGTCGGGGCCCTTTAAACGTCATTTAAACCGTGATTCTTGTCAGCCCATGAAGGATCGTTTTAACAAGGTTTGGGACAGACCAGGTCAGACCTCCGCCACCACGGCACGATTACGCCATGAGGCGTTGCCCTTTGGGCCTCGAACCACCTCGAAGAAGCAACTTTCGATCGATACAAAGGCCGATGTACGACAGGGACGAGCAAAATTTTATTCGAACAACTTCATTCGATCGACGATCAAATCCTCAACAACGATTGGAAACTACTTGAAATAAAATTTGTAATATTTATTTTATATAACAGAATCGAAACCATCGACGCTAAAAATGAAGTAGTATATTGTGTTTAGCTTCGAAAAATAGAAATTGAGACACTTTTAAAAAATAACTTTGATGTGTAATTTACACGTGAATAATATAGACCTGGTTCTAGAGGGCAAAATAAGACGAAAATCAAGAATACCAATTTGTTGATTGAGGCTTCGTTAAAAAGTTATTAACGTTTAAAGTTCCATACCGACTGGAAAATTTTTCGATAAAAAAAAAATTTCAAATCGTTCTGGAAAAAATATTTTTGACTGTGGGGGTCAATTACAATCATTTTTGGTGAACAGACATACCCCCGAAATTCTAACTACTTTCGGGGAAAAAATTCAGTAAGTGGAGAAATTTTTCGACGAAATTAAAAACTTTCAAATCATTCTGAAAAAATTATTTTTAGTTGCAGGAGTCAATTACAATCATTTTTGGTGAATAGACATACCTTTGAAATCCTAACCATTTTCGAAAAAAAAATTCCTTACAGAAAATGTAATTGCAAGTCAGAAATGTCTCTCCAAAATTTCATGCATATCTTCAAAAATGCCATAACTTCTGAACGGATTGGAGGATTCTAATGTTTCAAAAGGCAAACAACGCGTATTTTAGTAAAGAATATGTAGAAATTCCAAAAATATGTGAAAACTTGTTCCTTGACCCTGTAAAATGAGAAAACCCCCATAAAAATGGTGCAATTTTCAAACGTCCATAACTCCTAGAATAGTAAATATATTTCAATGAAACTTTTTTCTGAAATAGAGCTCATGAGTGCCTACAAAAAAGTATTAGATAACATTTTCGTACAGTGCCAACCAAATTTATTAAAAATGAAAAACGAATTTTTAAGAAAAATCGACAAGGTGTCTTTAGCGAAAAAAAAATATTTCAAATCATTCTGAAAAAATTATTTTTGGTTGCAAGAGTAAATTACGATCATTTTTTATTAATAGACATACCCCCGAAATCCTACTCGCTTTCGAGAAAAAAATTCGTGTAGGTGGACAAATTTTATTAATAATTTTGTTAATAACTTTTTAACGAAGCTTCAATCAACAAATTGGTATTCTTGATTTTCGTCTTATTTTGACCTCAAGAATCTCTCATTAAAATTTTTCCCAAGGTTGGGCGAACACCCTGTATACCTTACAAAAAGCAACCTGTATCAAGGATTAAAATTTTAGAAAAATGTTATGATCTAAATATATGTTTTGATAAATAAAATTAGATAGGTCGAGGAAATATATTATTATATAATCGACTATTCAGAAACGCAAGAACTTTGTGGGGTATAGGTTCGTTTAGTTAGCGCGATTCTCGTCGAGGGATCCGGTCGATTCAATTTTTACACTTTGTAAAACAGACGAGACAAACGTTCCCTTGCGAACGCGACGACAGCGAAAGAAGGCAACAGAGAATGCGTGGCATCTTGGCAAAGACAGCCCGTGAAAAAGGCGCGGTAGAAAAGATGAAAGTGACCCTCGAACGGACTTTGAAAAGAGCCATAAAAGTACAATGAGGGGTTAGAAGGAAGACGCCTTCGCTTTCCACGTGCTGGATGACGACGGGAAGGAGGGCGTTCAACGGAAGGCCTTGGCTCCCAGAAAATACGTGTTTTTTACTCGAACGTCGGGAAAGATTACAAAGGACAGAAAGGGGACAAAACCTTTTTAAGATCTCCGAGAACAGCCGAGTGTCTGTGCTTAGGTGATGAAACCCTCTCGCGTTTGTTACTCCGCGAGCTTTGTTATCAGAACGAACGTAAGTAGTTTTTGAATAACGATTTCTACAATTCTACTGACAGTGACTCGCGAACCCACTGTCTCCCCGAGTCTTTATCCTAATTTACCAGTCGCTTCGTTAATCTTATTTGCCCCGACAGGACGCAGTTTAATTCCATTAGCGAAATTAAAGTTCTAGCAAGAGCATTTAACTGCGGATCGATGCAGCTAACTCACAAACCATCAAGATAAACCCTTCGAAAGGTGATTCTGAATAACCCGGAACTTGGAAAACTGTTTACCCAACGATCGTTTCGTTCGCTTTCTCAAATATTGCATATTTGCAACGCCAGAAGATTTAATATTAGTATGCATGATAAATTCAGCGAATCGACAAAATTTTCTAAATGTTTCAGTTTGCAATAAACAATTGTATTATATCAATTTTGTTTTGTTTTGAAAAATTTCCTTTTGACGAGAAACTTGTTCATCTTACGTTTCACGATTTATACAATTTTCATCCTTGTTTTACTTTATATAGTAAACCATTCGCTAGATTAATTTGTACGAAATCCTTGATTCGATTAAAAAGTGAGATAATGTCTAGTAAAGATTTATCTATAAAATATGATATGCTGGTATGGAATAGATTTTAACAAAACAAAACAAATTAGGGAGCATATCCCTGCATACCTAATTATTATGAAAGTGGCACAAGTCATTCAACTGTTCAAAACTCACATTGCCGTGTAAGTTATTCATGAAACTTAATGATCTTAGATAAATTTTACATTAACAGTACATTTAGCAGCAGTAAAAACATTTTTTAATATGGTCGAACGTAAACATTTATCTCTAAACGGAATATTCATATGACTTAGGCTATTTTCATAATAACCGGTACAAATACAAACACACTTAATTAATCTCTACGCCAATAACCAAAATATTCACGGTTGTTTGATAACCGTGGGTACTTGGATACGCAAAACGTATTTTGAAAACACATTCTCTTTTCAAAGATTTCAGCACACTACTATGCACACAAATATTATTGTTTCAAACTGGAGAATAAACTAGAAATTATTTAACCTTATAACAGGATCAAATCTGATATAATAGACCAAACAATAGGACAATAATTGCCTTCGATCGAAGATAAATAAATAGTCTTAATAAAAAAACGTTATATTCAGAATAATTTACTGATAGAAATAAATATACAGGTAACCTTCATACAACACGGTTTTGCTTTAACACGATAAGAAAATTGCGAAAACCTTTCTAAAACACTGTAATTCTAAAGCACTGGATAACATGATTTTTGCATAACATATTTAAAAACTAAATTACTTTAAAATAATGAATTATAGTGGTTTTACATGACAAAATATAAACAAATTATAATTTATTAAATTAAGGTTGCGTTAAATTAAAATATTTTTTGTTTTTTTTTTTGTTTTGTGTTATACATACATTTATATTTTTCATAAAAATTAAGTTGCTTATGTAGAATTAAAAGAAAATATTTGTTTTTAATAAATGTTTGGACGTAACTCCCGTTTTTATACTGGCTCTGGGTCTCATATAACACGGTTTCACACAACACGGCATTTTTTAGGAACCTATCTAGTGCGTTACAGGAGAGTTACCTGTATTTAAAGTCGAGGATCCAAAGCGATTTAGCTATATTGCACCAAGTACATTGAAAATGTTTCAACCAAATATGGAAAAGGATACCCTTGTAGTCGGTTATTAACATAGAAGTTATGGTATAAAAAATAATTTACTGATAGAAATAAATATATTTAAAGTTAAGGATCCAAAGCAATTTAGCGATATTGCAACAAGTACAATGAAAATGTTTCAACGAAATATAGAAAAGGGTACCCTTGCGGCCGGTTATTGACATAGAGGTTATGTTACAAAGAAAAGGCGAAGCCTCGGGAAAAGTAAAAAAGAGACTGAC